ATACTTGCTTAATGAACACAGGAGCTTTTTTTACAATATGATGATGGTGTGAAATTGAGTTCTGCTGGCTGTCAACCTTGTCAACAAACTGAAAAAACATTAAAGAAGGCATTTCATGACAAATAAAATTAACTGAATAAAATCCCAAAAATGTTGCAGCTGTTGTGTCTCATGTAAATACTCTGAAAACATATATCCAAAATCTTTATGGTGTTTAAATCTCAAATGAAATTATCTTTGCATATTTAACCTTCCTACATTTAATATCATAGTGAGAAGTGCATCTGTTACAAGGAAAAGCACTACAGGAAACTTTAGTTAACTTTTAGAAATAACTTTTCTTTGCACACAGAATTAGACTTGAATGTCTCCAGCTCTACAGAGAAACAACTTTAATTCAACTCCACAGAATTAAATGGACTTCGGAAACCAGAGTTAACTGGGAAGCACTAGTCTTTTCAACAGACTAATAATTGTAGATGGACGATAGTAACATTCTATTACTGAAAAGCTATTCATGAGTACCTGGAAAATGTGATGATCCAACTATTTTCAGTGAATCTTGAGCCAAGCGAAAACTTCTTGGCAATCGAGCCAAATATCCAACTATGAAAAACAAAAAGAAAACAAATGATCTTCTAAGTCTGTCTTGTAAAAATTCCAAAATATTAAAACAAGAGTATCTTGCCTCCACTGCAAAGAGTATAAACCAGTCTCCTATGACATGTTTCCTACCGCTCTGCATATTCCATAAAGAATTTAATATACTTACCCCTGTTATAAATCTGAACCCAGTCTTACTGTGTCTACTTACAATACTCTCCCACCTTAAAGGGCCCAAATCAAATTCTTCTCCTGTCCTCATTACTCAGCTATCATAGAAAATAACTGGCATGTCTCTTTTAACAATATACAATGGAATGCAGTTAATCATACACGTACACCATTTTTCTTGGTACAAACTCCATTGATGGAAGCACCAGTGTTTAAGTCAAGAACCATTTATCAAGAACCATTTGCAAGCACCTCACCTTTAACATGGAAACTATTAAAACTGTAACTATGAAAAACATCTTGACAGTCTTTCTTCATTGTTGGATGAGCATATATATTATGGCATGATGCTGGGGACAAAATGAATGGGGAAGGCTATGCAATGACTGTAAAGCATTAACCCCAAAGAGCCTTGGCAGCAAGCAAGTAAAAGGGGAGATCATGGCATTGAAGGCTGGGGCAGAGCTTATTGAAAATTCTGCCACACCCTGAAATCGAGAAAGTTACTTTAAACCACCAGTTGGAGGGGTTCGTCTGCAATGAGATTGACAGTAACTCCAACCTTACTGGTTTATTGTAGGAGCTGTGAAGTGCTATATAAATATCAGCCTTTACTACTCACAGTTTATATGCTAAGATACTAATTGCTTATGCTATTTTTGATAGTCCTTATTGGAGAAAAGGAAAGCCAGGAAACATTTTAAAACAAAAACACAAACTTTCATTACCAGGTATAAGGTCAACAGCCATATTCAAATGTATCTTCCTTAGGCAGTAAAATTAAAGACAATTCTTTATTCTCACAGAACTACCTTTGCACTAAACAACTGGTCTTTATAATATATAAGGAGTAATTGTCATACCCCCACTCCCATCGTGTCCCAGTATGCCTTCTGTTGCTGTGATAAACACTATGCCCCAAATCAGCATGGGACAGCATGCAGAGAGGGTTTATTTCACCTTTCAGGTATACACTGACAATGTATACACTGTCCAGGAAAGGCAAGGCAAGGATTCAAGTTCAAATCTGGCATAAGGAAGTGAAGTAGAAGCATGAAGGAACACTACTTGCTGACTTCCTTCCTCTGGCTTGTTCAGCCTGCTTTCTTACACAGCCCAGGACAACCTGCCCAGGGATGGCACCACCCCCAGAGAACTTGTCCGTCTCACATCAAAAGTAATTTTAAAAAAATATTTCTCAGACATGCTCACAGGTCAATCGGGTAGAAACAAATCTTCAATTGAGGGTTCCTATCCCCAAGTGCCTATAGTTTGTGTCAAGTTAAACTAACAAGCACACCCCTTTTCTTTCTTTACTCAGCCCTATTCCTTTCTTCACATTCCTCCTACGTTTGTATCCTTGGTTCTCCCTTATATGAACAAATTTTAACTTCTGACAAGTGTTATCTTTAGTACGTTGCCTTAGGATCTATGGGACAGAGCTTATTAGTAGTAAGGCTACACCTTAAAACACACACAAATTACAACCACAGCCTTCTACTTTAAAAAAGACAAATCTGGTAAACTTTCCTTTCTTTCTCCAGCATATATTTTTGAACTGTGAGGAGGGTTTTCACTTTAAATCCCAAAACCCCAGCGACACCCTGCATTTTACATCGAGAACCAACAGAGGGCGCTCCACCACCAAAGATGTTTTAAAAGCTCACTGTGGTGACAGCACAGGTCCAGCACAACACAACACTGTAGATGGTCGCTCTGAAACACAAGGTGGGCGGTGACCCACGAACTGAAGTTTATGAAGGCACTTTTCATTGAAAGCTTCACATCTGAACAATCTCCTGCAGCTACGCCTCATTCGCATTCGCATTCCCATCACGATCTTTCCTATCGTTCTCTTTCAGACTCGGACACGAACCAAGGCTCCCCGGTGCAGGAGCAGCCACAGGAAGGGCCCGCTAGGTGGGACGGGGACGGGGTCACGTGACTCGGGCCCAACGCAATTCTCGTGAGGAGCCGCGGCCGCCGGAGCGCCCTCCGTGCGGCGCCGAGCCTCACCTGCAGGGGGCGCCCGCAGCAAGGAGGAGAGCAGGACGGCGGCCACCGACCGCGCCGAGAGCGCCGTTGGGCCCGAGTCACGTGACCCCGTCCCCGTCCCACCTAGCGG